GAGTGGTGGATTGGATTTAGGGTCGAGCTTTGACAGGATATAGGATAGGATCGGAAAGTCCTTGGAATATTGTTGATCCATTTCATTCGGACTCATAAGAACTCCAAACAGTTGGACATACAAGTAGAAGATGATCGAGACAGAGAGAGATAGAATACAAGTGTTGGAGAAAGAGGAAACATATATGTGCAGAGAAAGGGGGAGAGAACTGGAAAGTAGTAGAGAAACCTGTGGGCTCCAACCAGATAGGGTCATGGGCTACTGGTTGACGACATGACTTGTTGGATCTTGAACAACCCATAAACTGTAGAACCATTTAATTTAGAACTATGTTCTTAAAATTACATTTGGAAGGGATGACAGGAGTTCTCATTAACGTCATCCAAATGCAAAGAGAACCAGGATTCATAAACAGAAATAAAATCCAAAACAAAAGCAAAGGAAAAAACTAGGATCCTTCCAACAGACTATTGTTTTTCTTTGTTACAGAAGACGTTTACAATACAGAAAACCTAACTAACAATGTCCCTTGGCCTACAAACAACCCACAGGCCAAAGCCAGCTCCAACTCAAAGCTAGCAATGTCACTACAGTAATTTAAAAAAATTGTTCAGCTATCAAAATCTTTCAAAATTTGGTCACCATCAGCAAGTTCCTTCCTTGCGCAGCAAGCTTTGAGAAAAATAGGCCAACCTCACAAGAAGAAGAGCGTTGCAACCATATCTTTTCCAGATCAAATAATGAAATAAGAAGAAGTTCTCAGTGGACTGCCTTTTGCCTAACACCAGCATCTTCATGCTCAACCTGATAAATAAAGAATACATTCAGATTCGAGGGAAGAGTTACATATCACAATAGACGTGTAGATATAGCAAGTTATTTCTAGTGATTTCACAATTATTTAAAAAAGGGTATTATTTACATTAAGGGTACTGCTCTACTAATCAATTACAACTAAAAGGGAGATAAGCGGCTTGGATTTAACATACAATATGGTCTAATAGCAACCCCTTAAGTCCTAAGGATAGGAAAGACAGTTTCTAGTTAAAGTGATACATCAATGCTTTTCAAGCAAGAAAAGCAAGAAAACTATGCTGAACCAACTAAAGATCTCAAGACTGAATATGTAACTAGCCATTACCTCAACAAGTACCCTCGGCTTCTTCTTCGATTTGGCAGCAGGTTCATCTTTCTCAAATCTTCTAGAAGCAAAGGGAGATTCCTTTCTCTCTCTCTTGCGAATAACTGCTTCTGCCTCTTCATCACTTCCAACTGCATCATTAAGATCCTTCATTGAGTCCATTTGATACGCACAAGCACACTAACTCTTCCCCATAGTTTTATACAACAGTTGGAACAAAGCATTATAAACCTTTTTTTAGTCACAGCAGACTAAAAAAATTAGTCTATTATGCAAATTTTGTGTGGATTATGCATGCATTCATTTCATATTCTGTTAAGACTAGAATTTAGCTTTACCCATATCATCATCTGCATGAGAATTGTCCATTGAAAAACCAGCAAAATCTTCAATATCATCTTCCTCTTCAAGTTCATCATAACCTTCAACATATTCTATCTCAGGTTCCTGCTTATTCCAACCACAAAAGTATTTAGATTATGAAAGCATACAATTTCAAGTAAGCATACCATGAAATACTTCACATTTCAATACTAATACTTGAGATATTAGATCATCCAAAAAGAAGGAATGATAAATTGGACAAGAATACCTCCTCCTCCTCTTCTTCTTCTCTCTCAGTATCCAACTGCATTCTTCCCCTTCAAGAACTTTTTGGTATTTATCAAAGGGGTAATTCTATATATCTTTATATGCATCACCACAAACTCCTTTCTTGAGGCGTTCTAGTAGTTCTCTCTCAATGCTCTGCAGAAGGACAGTAAATCTTTATGAGACCTAGCGACAATAACAGATCAAGTCCAGTACATTTTTAGTGTATGGCAGTTAAGTTAAAACCTTATCCAACACTGCAGCTTTTTCAGCCTTTTCCTCTCTTCTAGCCTCTCTCTTTTTCTCTTTCCTTGGTGTCGTCATTATTTTCTCCCTGGTATAGAACACAACAAATTGCATCAATAGAACGGCTCAATACAACTTCTTTAATATCAACATTAAAAAGGTAAAATCACTTTTCGGACAATTTTTTTAATTTTAAAAACATAATTATTAGATGAAGTAGACATTTATCACATGGACACGAAGCATTACACAATGAGATGATACGGACCTTGTTTTCAAAGCAAGCTTCCTCATGCGTATCCTCATCTGGGTCATTTTAGTCGGCCCTTATAATCAACCAGCCCTTTTTATCCACCTTATACATACATAGAAATTTTACATGGCTTAGTTGCCTTGCCTATTGAGCTCATGTTCTTTTTGAATTCCTTTCCTCTATGGATTGCAGCCATTCCAGCCTGAAATTTTACCAAAAGGCGGGTTAAGGTCTGCTTCCCAAAACCAAGATCTAGAATGTTACGGTGCATTCAGCATTTCCAAAAGAATCTAACAAAGTATTCTGCATTCTTTTGTCCCTCAGAATAGTTACCACCCTCGGAGTTCCTATTCGGTACTCACATCCTGTGTGCTTGGTGTGTCATTCTTTAGTTTGTCTTGGTGTGTTCCATTTTTTGGCCTCTGATTTACCAGTTGTACAGAACCTGCTAAATCCTTAGTCATTCAGAGTGTAAGACAGCAAGTATACATTGGCACCTCGCCTATATATTCAGCTAGAGGCAGAGAAGAGAGAGAGAGAGAGAGAGAGAGAGAGAGAGAGAGAGAGAGGATTAACCAGTTCACGTGGATTCCTGTTTATCGTTTTTCGGTGTGCAAAGTTATAGCATAGAATTAAGTTCATTTTTATCTTCTTTGCTTTGGTTTCCCTCTTGATTTCTGATGTAACCAAATGTAACATAATCGGAGTGAAAATGGTTTTGGTTTTTGTGTGCACTTGTCTCTTTTTGTCTAGTTTGCCTTCCTTGAATTAAGACAAGAACTGATGAACACATCTCCAGAAAGTGAAAAGAAAGGTTAGAACATTCAGCACACAAAAGTAAGACTCGACTGGCACACAACAACCCAATTTTGAACAGAGAAAGAGAGAAACCACTTCATGAAGGAAGTTAAACGAAAAAGATGCAAACTTTGTAACTTTTAACTGTAAACACCAGTCATTGAAAAGTTGGGGGAACTCTTAAATTCGTCTGAGAGTTTCCTCTTACTAAACCAACAACCAAACACAAAAGTCTGAACTATGCCTGTTAAAAGTTTCAAAAACAGGCAGGATCTATCTATATTCCCAATTACATAACAAACTTGCTTGCTTTGTACCGTTAATTACAAAAGGCCTGTTAAAAGTTTCAAAACCAGACAAGATCTATCTATATCCCCAATTACATCAAAAGCTTTCTATGTACTCCCTTCTTCTATTGAGCATCAGCACTGTAAAGGCAAACAAAGTACAATTTCAATTCGAGTCATACATTTAGGAAAGAGAAAAGATGTAAACATTGTAACTTTTATCAACAATAACATGTAAATGGCAGGGAGGACTAAATAATTTGTCCAAAAAGAATTTATCAACCATTAAATAAAACTCAAATAATAATGCCAATGCCATCAGGTTAGATATGAATTCGCTATTTTATGCCCAAAAATTATAATAATCACAAAACATAAAAAGAGATTAAATGAAGATGAATTAAGAAAACAATTCAAAGAAAAAAAACAATTGAAAAGTATATGATACTTACTGGTCCCCAAGCAGAAATACAAATCCTGCTTCCTCAATATCTTGCTCCAGAGCTCCAACATTTGCAAAAGCATTCAAGGTAGGTATGACGATAGTGTTCGCCCTCCAACCACCACTGTTTTTAACATAGATCAAGGCATTCAGTTCATCTCCGTTGGATACCTTGACCACGTTCGCATCACGGAACCTCTTGTAGAGCTGCTCACATCGTCGGTACTCTTCTTCCAACGCCTCCACAGAAACCCTCAACGCATAGTACAGTGATTGGTACTTGCGGTAATCCTTCGTGGTCCGATTGCGCACACGGCTTGATGCAATTCTCACACGGCAGCCCAGACGAACTACTGTCACCGCATCAAATAAAGCACGGGCATTTTCGCCTGTTCTGATCATAATGGAGGATGGCTGAAAGGAATCTTGGATGCTCTTGCGGTGTACGAGAGCATCGACTTGCCGCCTCATGGTAACGAATATAAAAGGACGAAGGACACGCTTCGGATCGACAACGTAGCGATTTATTGTCGCCAAACCCTCATCTCGCTCAACAGTTAGATCCCGGACCCTCTTGCGAGAGTGAACATACTCAGAGAGTAAGGAGTTCATGGAGAATCGATTGAGGACAGACGACTAGGAATCGAGAATTGAGAGATGACAAACCCTAGGGAAGAATGGAGACTCAGATGAGGCGACAATTCTGGTTCTGGAGCAGCAAATCCCTAGGGGACATAAGGAAGGGCATCTCGACAATTCTGGGCCAGGCGCAATAAACCCAGTAGGCCCAAGTCCCAACTAATTCCAATTCCAATTCCAATTCCAAATGAGTGAGTCTCTTGAGAAACCTTAATTGAAAAACTTAAATGAGGACAGATTGCAACCGTTGGATAAAATTGGATGGCTGAATTAAAAGAGCAACTTAAGTTGCATCTTGTTCTGGCACAATTTTTTTTTTACGGGTGTCCTTCCATAGCGCCATATGTAATAAATGTTTCTTTTTTATATTGTTTATGTTAAGATTTTATTCTATGAACTAGAATGACACATTGTTGAACCCATAATGAAGCATATATGATGCCTGTATGAAACATATATCTTATGCTTTCACAATGCTCCTTTTAAGATTAAAATTTTAATTAAAAAAATTAATTAAAAAAATCAGAAAAACACCCCGAACTACTTTCTCTTCATCTTTTAAGCTTTAAAATATAATTGACCTATAAAAAATTTCAAATAGTTTCTCAAACTCAAGTCTGTTGCTATTAGTACAAATTTCCTCCAATTATTAGTACAAATTTCCTAAAGTCAAATTTGGATGTTCATGCATTATAGTCGAACATAATGTTGCAAGGAGTTCGTAGAAATATTTAGGGGTGAACACAGGTCGGGTCGGGTCGGGTATAGGCCCAAACCAATGTTATTGTACAAGGACAAAAGTAGGGGTGAATACGGGTCGGGTCGGGTCAGGTATAGGCCCAAACCACTCACCGAACCGGCCATGTCGGCAGGCCCATTGGGCAAACCGCACACCTCATTTTTAGGCCCATTTTCGAATGAATTCGAAACCCGATAAGTCGGGTCGGGTTAGGCCGGGTTGGCGGGTTTCTGCCGAGGCCCAAAAAGAGCAACTGAAGGTGAGTGAGAGCAGAGAGAGAGAGAGAGAGCGCGAGTCACTGAGAGAGAGAAAGCGAGATTGACTGAGAGAGAGAGCCACGCTGCGAGAGTGACTGAGAGAGAGAGGGAGCGACAGTGACTAACAGAATAAGAGAGATTGGAAGAAGAAGTCGACGGATTTGGTTTGGGGGGAGGAGGTTGAGTGAGAGAGGCAGATCTGATGGAGAGAGAGGAGGTGTTGCCAGTGGCGAGAGGAAGAAAAAATGGAGGAAGAAGAAAAAATAAAAAATGGAGAGAGAAGAAGAAAGTGACGGCTGGGAGAAAAGAATAGGAAAAGGAGAGTTCGTGGGGCAGGAAACCTAACTCTTTTTTTTAATGTTTTTTTAATTCTTTTAGATTGTAATAAATATTATAATCATACATACATTTCACAAGAACACGCATCAGTCCAGTGGAATTTGGGCTTTGTGTCAACACCCTGGAAAGAGTTCGACTCCGCATCACTTTACTTTGTATGAAATTTTAGACAATTTTCATGGAACCGGTCTGGTTCGGGTTTCGACGGTTTTAAAAAATTCAAACCGGTTCAAATCGGTTCATCATCGGGTCGGCCGATTTTTTCTGCCGATTTCAATAATTTTAATTAAAAAACCGGACCAACCCGCCAAAACCGATCCGGTTCGATCGGGTTTTCGGTATAAATGTGCAACCCTAGAAATATTTGGTGTATTTTTCTGAGTTTTATTAACTTTTAGTGAATTTTTTTACGTAACACACAAAAAGGATACACATGACGGGTTAGTGCTTCTTATCGGTGTCACTCACCTTTGCGTTACATGTCATTAAAGTATCATTTTTTTGTGTTTACCTTCAAAAAATTCACAAAAAATTAATAAATAAAAAATCAGTAAATACACCGACATTATCTTCGACAATGAGTTCATGACATTTTTTGGTAAATTTTACAGATTTGTTACAAATTTATTATGATTTTTGGAAGTTAAAGAATTCGAAAATAGTAATAAATGGAAGAGAATGACACATGGCAGCACTTGATGGCTGCGTCATCAGAGTTCTTGACGGGTGTCACTATCTTGTAGTGCCATGTGTCATTAAAGTTTCATTTTTTTTATTTGACTTAAAAAAATCACAAACAATTAATTAAAAATCAGAAAAATGCATCGAAAATTTCTAAAAAATCATTGCAACATTATCTTCAACTATAATACGTGAAAATCTAAATTTGACCTTGGAAAATTCGCAGTAATAATTGGAAGAAGAGTTGTAGTGAGGAAGAGTAATGATCTTCAACTTAGTGTTATAGGTAGTATATGAAAAAACTTGAGTTTGAGAAATTATTTAATTTTTTTATGTGTCAAATTTATATTTTACAACTGAAAATATGAAGAAAATGTTCGTGACATTTTTTTGGTAATTTTAGAAGATCTTTTACGAATTTATTATGATTTTTGGAAATTAAAGCATTGGAAAATAAGAATAAATGGAAGAGAATGACACATGGCAGTGCCTAATGGCTGCGCTGTCAGAGTTTCCAACATGTGTCACTATCCCGGAGCGCCATGTGTCATTAAATTTTCATTTTTGTTGATTTGACTTAAAGAAACACAAAAAATTAATTAAAAGTCAGAAAAACGAACCAAAAGTTCTAAAAATTCTTTGCGACATAGTTTATCATAAAAAATTCATGAAAAATCATGAAAAAAAAATCAGAAAAATACATTGAAATTTTTTGTGAATTCCTTGCAACATTATCTTCGATCTTATGTGTGAAAATCAAAATTTTACTTCGGGAAATTTGAAGTAATAATTGGAGGAAGAGTTATAGTGATGAACATTGGTGATCTTCAACTTAGTATTATAGTTTGTAGAGAAACAAACTTGAATTTGAGAAATTATTTGAATTTTATATAAGTCAAAGTTATATTTTAAAAATTAAAAGACGAAGAAAATGTTGCAAGGATTTCGTAGGATTTGTTGGTGTATTTTTCTAATTTATTATGATTTTTTGAAGTTAAAGCATAGGAAAAATAGTCATAAATGGAAGAGAATGACAAGTAGCAGCATTGATGACTCGCGGTGCTACACGAGAATGACACCCGTCTGAAGCATTAATGATGCACCATTCAGGTGCTTCCACTTGTCATTCTCTTCCATTAATTACTATTTTTCAATGCTTTAACTTCCAAAAATCGTAATAAATTCATAAAAAATCATTAAATGTACGAAAAAATCCTACGAACTCCTTTTAATTTTTTCTTCATCTTTTAAGCATTAAAATATAATTTTGAGATATAAAAAAATTTAAATAATTTCTCAAACTCAAGTTTGTTTCTATACTAACTACACACCAAGTTTAAGATCATTACTCTTCCTCACTACAACTCTTCCTCCAATTATTAATTCAAATTTTCCAAATTCAAATTTTGATTTTCGTGCATCATAGTCAAAGATAATGTCGCACGGAATTTGTAGAAATTAAGGATGTATTTTTTTAATTTTTTAAATTAATTGTTTGTGAATTTTTAAAGATAAACATACACAAAATGAAACTCTAACGACTCGTGGCGCTATGTGAAATTACGCTCCCCAAAAGCACTGATGACACACTCTTCCAAAAATCATAATATTTCATTAAATAGCAGAAAAATACACACACCAAAAAAATCTACAAATTTAATGTGATACTTTCTACGTCTTTTGAGTTCATCTTAAAACATTCATAAAAGTACTAATGAAGACTTCTTAGTTCAAAAAATAAAAATAATATTATGAGGCTTTAGTGAATAATAAATGAAGCAATGTTAAAGTTCTAGTGAATCCTTTTGAAGTGTTTATGAAAGATATTTGGGTGGTGTTGGGACTTTTTTGTCCCACACACTTTACTTGCCAAATCCGATTCACACCACGTCACGTACACATACGGCCAACTCGAGCTCTTAATAATCGTACCACAAGTCCCGTGTTATACCAAAGTCGAAAATAAGCTCTAAGCGTGCTAGGGTTGGGTTGGGTTACGTTTTACGAACCCTAAGTCAATGTGGAAACCCTAGGTCAAAACCCTAGGTTGGGTTATGTCGTAAACCATAATTGTGTGTTAGGAAATTTAGGAAAGCTCATAAAGAAATTTGAATGCTTCGGATAGGGTTCGAAATAAGTTTGGAAGTGGTCCAAAGCTTTTGGGTTTGGTTCAGGACTTGAAAATATTTTTCGAAGGTTCAAACTAACTTTTGAATAATGAAAACAAATTTTGGAAATTTAAAACTAATTTCCAAAAGTCTCAAAAACAATTTAAAAGAATTAATTACTTATTAAAAGTAATTTTCAAAATTTAAAACTAATTTAAAATAATTTTAGAAATTTAAATTCCTTTTCCAGAAATTCCAAACTTCACAAAATTTGATGTACTCAACTTTGTAATATCGTTAACTTGTCGTTGGGACATCAGGCACAACCTTCACTGTCACTTGTGTATGTATGAAGTAGTCATCATTTTTTTTACCAAAAAAAAAGAAGTAGTCATCATTTTCAAATAGTTAATCTCGGTTGGTGGCGACGGTGGGCTACGGAAATGGCACCTTTACCATATTCTGCACTCTACCACGTGGCCATCCAACTTGTCAGGTTAACCCAAACCCGTATCAAATATTGGTTAATGGCAGCGGTGGGCTACGGATATGGCACCTTTATCAACTTCCGCACTCTACCACAGGTGCAATCAACCCATCGGGTCATCCCAAACCCTTACTTACTGTTGGTCTTTTTCCTTGTCAGGTATTCTTTTCGCCTAATGTCGTGATAGGCGTGCTCGGAAGAATACAGCAGCTGTTAGACCGACATCAATGCCCCGATTGTATCTTTTTGGCTCACGCAGATGCTATTTCAATCTTCAACAAAATTGAAAGTTGTATCAGGTTGACAAGAATCCAGTCCAGCCTTGTCTTGGGCTTAACTTCCGGATTCCTTCCGATTCATGGGTTCTGCTTTATAGGCGTGCCACTGTTGGATATAAGACCAGTCCAACAGGCCTGGTATGAGCGAGTGTGATGTGTATTTTGTGAAGTTTGC